GTTAAGGCCCTTAAATAGAGCCTTATAGTAGATCTTTAGGTTAGCTTTAGCAAACTTAGGTCGGCGTAGACTGCTAGGTACCTAGATCCGCTTACGACTAGTACGTATAGTTATCTCTCTATAGCGAAGAGCCTACTATAGCTTTAGCTTAAGGAATAGGGTAAGAATGTTATAGCGCCTACTAGCAAGCTACTTCTTTATTATTAAGTAAGCACCTTTAGCTCTCGAAGTAACTAATTGCCCGTAGAAGGGGAACTTCTTCTACTAGAAGCAGTGCACTAGCTTGTACTTATAGCTCTAGTATTTACGTAGAATATAGGCTCGAAGGGTTATATAGTAAGGGTTCTCGTAGTTTGCTATCTACTAGTCCTTAGTATTAAATTCTTCTTCTGTCTTAGTATAGACATAGGCACGGAAGTTGTCTACGAATATAGCACATTCGGGGTCGTCTTACTACTTAGATTTGCCTGTCTCTTTATTAATAACCTGCTTCTAAGGCATTAGCTTCCGAGCCTGCGCCTATATGTTCTTAAATACGTACTAGGCGCAGATAAGAGCTAGTATGCGAGGGTATACCTTGTCTAAGGCGTTTATATAACTACGGTCTCGATCGGTAACCTATAGGCCTAGCGGAGGTAGATTATAGTCGGTAGACAGCTCTTTAAAGGCCTTAGCAAACTACGTAAACGCGGCTTTATCCTCGTTGCCTATAATATAGTATCCTAGTAGAATTGTATCTCTAGCTCCTATACTAGTAACGATGTTTAAAAGCGGTCGGTTATACTTATTCGTCTTATATATATTATCGATAATAAGATAGTCCGGATAGTCCTTATATAACTCGGCTATTTAAGGGTTAAGAACGAGGAGTTTGTCGAGTTTACCGGCTAAATCTACCTCCTTCTTCTAGTAGAAACCTAGTTAGCCTAGCAGCTTAAAAAGCGCTTTAGAAGCGGTTAGATCGCCTTACGCTGCCTTCCGTATATAGGCTCGAACATTAGCGATATCTTTAGCTAGCTATATGCCTATAGAATATAGTTGTTAGTATATTGTTTATAGAGAGAGTAAGGAAGAGTATAATTTAGGAGGAAATTAGGCTTAGGCCGAATCTCGGCCGAGTATATTTAAGAAATGCGACTGCCTTAATACTTACATTCTTTTATGTCTATTAACCTATATAGTGTCGTATATACGGCGGCATTAGCGTTTAGATCGTCGACAATTATCTTCTTAATCTTCTCGTTACGCTAGCGTCGTCTATATATAGCGAAGTACTTAGGCAGCTTAGGTTAATAGTTATATTAGCCGCTTATCTTTCTAACCTACTAACGACCCTCTAGATTCTTCGGATTATACGCACTTAACGTAAGTAATGCTAGACACTTCTTACGCGTAGAGACCGCGTTTAGACGCTTTGTCTTTACCTTATTAGATAGCGTACCGCCCTAGTTATAAAGAAGCTACCGAGATACCTATACCTTAGTATTTTAATAGATCTTCGCCCTCGACCTGTTTCCGGACTTAATAGCCTAATAATAACCGGCTCTTATTGCGTAGTCTTAAACTGCTAAGAGGGTAGCATCTATAGAGCGATAAGTATCCCTCGGAGGTACTAATAATAGTTAAATAGTTTCCTTATTACTATTAGTCTCGCCTTTAGTATTAGTATTACCTCTAGCTTGTCTATCTACCTTAGTAGCAACATTTTTACTAGTTAGCTCTATAGGTAGCTATTCTTCTATACTCTAGTCTTCCTCTTCTACCTCCTTCTCGAGCTCGTATTTACGCCGTTCCTTATTATTTAAACTATCTAATTCGACCGACTCTTTATCTCTAATTCTACTATTAGTAATAGGGCTTCTATCTATTACTCCCTACCCTTTAACTGACTTAATATCTTAGAAGAAATCGTCCGCTTAGCGGTCTTTAGTACTACTACCGAAATATAGTTCTTACGATAGAATAGACGACTTGTAAAGAGCCTAAGAAGCTAAGGGTACTAGAGCCTCGCTCTGCAATACTAAGAAAGATATAGTAACGATAATAATACCTTAGTTTAGTCTATACTATTAAAATTCTATCGATATAAGATAAGGTTTGTAGTAGAAAAGACGCGACGCGCCGCATCCCTTAGCAAAGTGCTATTTCTAGCTATTTATAGTAACAAGAACGCTAAGAGCCGGGCACTAGCGCTTTGCCATTTATAGGTTGAGAATTGCCAAATAGCAAAGAGGGAATTGCCAACTAGCTTTTGCCGAAGTGGAGCTGTCCTTAATGATTTCGTGAGGTGAAGGCCCAGCCCATCTCAGTGTTGATGATCGGCTTTGCTTGTACGCGGAGCACGAAGAATGAAGGTGAAGGAGCAGATGAAGAGGTGTAGTTCAAGCTGGAGTCGATCTGGACCAAGATCCCTCCTAGCTCCTCGCATCGGCCCGCTGTGAAGGCGGCCGACAGCGTCATCCATCCACCATGATGATGATGATGATGAAGAGTACCTTTCATTGTCCTGTGCGCAGTCGACAGCGTATCTAGGCGGTGACAGATGCTTCGCAACGTCTCGCCATCATGTTGGCGATGCGCAAACACAACGCTCAGATCTCAATCTGCTTTCGCAGCAGGCCTCGCCGGCACTCCACCATCTGCCCTGACCACTCGGAGCAATGGCACGCGAGCATATACCACTGCCAGGAACACCACCACCTTTACGAGGCCGCCCAATAATACAGTATTTCTCTCAATCCGACGATACCAGAGTCGGTTCTCTCAGGCAAGGCCACCTTCTCCGGCGGATCTCGGGAAGCCATCTCAAGCGAAACAATACCGCCGCACCCGAAAATGGCTTCGAAGGCTCATACGCACCGCTGTGGTGCTTGGGATTGCCTACGTTATCGACACCCAGTTCTACCATTCATGCCTTACACGTTCGGCGCGAACTTTCTACAACGGCCTAGTGGTAGCACTCGACTATAAATTCAACTTCAGACCGGATCCATGGTATGGAGACAGTGTGGCAGATCTACATCACCGAAGTGCACAGCGTGTCTTTGATCTGCTGCGCAATAATGGAGGCCTATATCTGAAAATTGGTCAAGCCATTGCCATGCAGAGTGCTATTCTTCCGCCCGAGTTCCAGAAGATGTTCGCTCGAATGTTCGACGATGCGCCGCAGAACGACTGGAAAGACGTTGAACAGGTCATCAAAGAAGACTTTGGTGGTAAAAGTGTTGAAGATGTCTTCGGTGTCAGCTTCGATGGAGATGCAAGTAAAGGCGTCATGGAGCGGACAGCAAGAGCCAGCGCAAGTGTTGCTCAAGTACATTGGGCACGACTTGGAGATGGGCGAGAAGTAGCTATAAAGGTCCAGAAGCGCGAGATTGCCAGTCAGATTGGATGGGATCTATGGGCGTTCCGCGTGGTGTCAAGGATCTATTCATACTGGTTCGATCTACCCCTCTACCATTTGGTGCCCTATGTCTGCGATCGGCTGCTCGCCGAGTGCGATTTCCGCCTGGAGGCCGATAATGGACGTCAAATGCGGAAACTCATTCAAGGAGAGCCTCGGCTGCGAAATCGCGTATACATCCCCGACGTCTATCCGGAGCTTAGTGGCAAACGTGTCATGACAGCAGAATGGATAGAAGGTACTCGGTTGTGGGACAAGGAAGGAATCGAGAACACCTGGTATGGCGGCTGGAGAAAGGGCTCTCCAGGCGCTGGCAACACGCCTCTTGGAACTGTCACCAACAACATCAAGTCCTCTGTGCCATCGAACAACCCCAACGCTGAGATCCTCAAGCCAAAGCGGGATGAGTGGCGAGGACCATCTGGGAAAGGCGGCCTTGGGCTCTCACTGAAGCCTGTGATGCAAACCATGGTCGACCTCTTCAGCGCACAAATGTTTCTCTGGGGCCTAGTCCACTGCGACCCACATCCAGGAAACATATTCGTCCGCCGTCTGCCAAACGGCAAGCCCGAGCTGGTCCTCATCGATCACGGGCTTTACATCAAAATGTCACCCAAGTTCAGAAAAGAGTATGCACTGTTTTGGCGAAGTCTGATGACCTTTGACAATGCAACGATAGCAAGAATCACCAAAGACGAGTGGGGTATCAATGCACCTGACATTTTTGCCTCAGCAACATTGATGAGACCATACGAAGGTGGCGACAACAAAGTCATGAACGAGCTTCGCAATTTGTCCAAAAAGGAGCAACGAGAACGGCAATTCGAGATGCAACAGCACATGCGGAAAGGCATTCGTGACATTCTGGCCAACCAGGACAAGTTCCCTCAAGAACTCATCTTCATCGGCAGGAACTTGCGGATTGTGCAAGGCAACAACCAATTCCTCGGCTCGCCCGTCAATCGAGTCAAAATCACTGGATACTGGGCGTCAAGAGCATTATCTGAGGATAGAGATGCTACAGTTGGGCAGAGATGGAAGGAGTATGGTCGGCATTTACTCTTCCGATTTGTACTTTTTGGCACAGATATTTGGTTCTATTATGCCAAGCTGAAACAAGTTCTTGGTATTGGCAAGGGCATGGATGATGATATTGAAGAGAGCATGAAGAAGATGGCTGAAGGGTGAGTTCATTTCCAATTCAGAGTTGTCATGACACTGCTAACTTGTATCCCAGCATGGGCGTAGAACTCCAGCATGGCGTTTTCGATGGATAGATGAGCATCTGCATTGTAGATGAGAGTTCATATATCAGACGACTCTTGGTTCCAGTCCAAGATATGTGTATATGTAGATTTTGAGCAGTGTACACTCGGCTCTGTCCGCTATCATGCCCCAGTAGCTCGAGCTAGGCCTGTTTACATATGATTCAGATCCTCGCTTCATCAGCGAGCGAGACGTCGTGTTACTGCAAAGCTTCTGGGCAGTTGTGAGATTCGGGCCCGAAATATGGCATGTTGCATAGACATCCTCTGCGGCGCTCTTTAGCGAGGACAGACTACCAAGGTCGAGAGTAGCTAGATCTTGGTCTTTCATAGATGGAGTGAACCGTAAGCCTTCACGGCTGTGGGTCTGCAAACCCTTTCAGATCGTGTGAACGCAGATGATGGCTTGCATCGCGCCCGTCGCGAACAGTGCAAACTTTTCATGGCATCACCAAGTTCAAATAGCTTGCAGAAGTAATCAAACAGGTTTCTAGGGGCATCAATGCCTCCGGGTATCGTAAACCTCAAACCTCAACGCCAAGAGTGCGCGAGCCATACTTTATTGCGCAGCCATGCTCTTCCTCAGCTGCCGCTGCCTCTGGCTGGCTTGAAGCTCCAGTCGACCAACAGCATAGCTCAGTCGCTCCTTCTTCTGCCGCAGTTGCTGAAGCTTCATCTCATCTAGATTGTTGATGCCACCTGCACCAGGCTTCCGCGCCGGGCTCTTCGATCTTGACCGTGACGGTCGCGCGAGCCGTCCTTCTTGAAGCTCAGCCTTCGCCATGAGTGACTTCTCCCGTCTTTCAAGCTTGTCCAGGTAGGTCTCCACGCGTGAGAGCAGATTCGATACTTCGGGCTGGATCTCTGAGAGCAGTGTGGCTTGCGCGGTGGTCAGGTCGTGCTCGGAGACCAGCTCGAAATGCTGCGTCTCATTGTCAGCTCTCTCGCTAGAGACATCAATGACGATCACTCCAGCTTTCGTACTCTTGTCGTCTGTATCACCTTTGCGAGCCTAGGATAGTCGTTGACTCCAGAATCGAGAATGTTGATGCTGGATTCCAGAAGTTGCATGCTCGATCGCAACGAGCTCACACAGCCCTGAAGGGTGCTTTGCGTGCTTGCGTCCATCGCCATAGGTTGGAACGCGCTGTCACATGCTTCAACGAAGTGAGTGAAGTGAAATGAATCGAAACGAAGACGCGTCGCGACTTCATTTCGGCTTCTGTTCCTGCGGCAGACGGCCGGTCGGCCCGAGAAGCTTCAAGCTCTCTTTGAGCTGTGCTGTCCCCTGCTTTCAATTTCAACAACAAACACACGACCATTCAAACACCGACATCTGCTAGGCGTTCCGACTTCAAAGCGCTCTACGCCTATACCTGCGTGTCGTAGCTACAGCGTGCGCTGTCTTGCGCCAATGGGTGGTCTGTCTTAGGCACCTGCACACCATTCACGGTTTTGGAAAAGGAGCGTCGCCTGGTTGACCTGCTCGATCTGCTTCAATTCATCGGACTTGCACCTCTATTTGAGCAGCTTTCGAAATGCTCAGCGAACTTCAACTAGACGAGGCCGCCGTGCAGCTTCGGTCTTTCCAGGCGGAGAGTGAAGCTCACCTCAAAAGCCAAGTGGAAATTCTTCAAAGATATGGCCAGCTAATGGAAGACTACAAGCGGTTGAGGAGCGACTATGAAGAAGAGCGAGAGTCCCGAGAAAAGTACAAGCAACTCGCCAAGGGCCAGGAGAGGAATCCGTTCGTGCTTTTTCTTATCGACGGCGATGGCGTGCTCTTTGACGACGACCTGGTCAGCAATGGAGCTGACGGCGGCACTCGAGCAGCGCAAATCTTGAACGATGCGATTCGAAAACATCTCCGGAGTCTTGCTCTTGATCACTGCAAGCTGATGGTCCGAGTCTACGCCAACCTGGCCGGATTGTCAAAAGCCTTGTCGAAATCGAAGCTCGCTGGAGCGGACAAGGTGAGTGATTTGAAATTCCTGTGCACATAGCCTACCTTCTTTGCTGCCAACGCCTTCATCTGAGAATCACGGACGTGACCTGGCTCCATCGAGCAGTCTCCAGAAGGAGTGATTCTCAAGAGCTCATCGTTCCATTGAATCCATCTGCGAACATCTACTCACTCGTCTGCAGCGCTCTCTTGCCCCCTTTGTGGCCAATTTTAATCGATCAAATGAGCTCTTCGACTTCGTGGATGCTGGCGAGCTCAAGGAAAATGCCGACTTCAAGATCCGAGCCATGTTCAGACAATTCGTGGACAATGCGCAATGCAAGCATATCTTCTTTGCAGCTTGCCATGATGTTGGCTACATCTCCGAGCTTACACCTTATATGAGCAACAGAGATCGGATCACTCTTGTTCGAGGCAACGGAATTCATCCCGAATTTATCAAGCTCGGGTTTCCGATTGAGCATTTTCCGTATCTCTTCAGAGCGACACCACTCACTCCCGATGGTCCCACATTCACAAAGACCGTGATATCTCCACCACCTCCCGCTCCGCTTGGCAACCATAACAGTGGCCCATCAGCAGACAATGGCAGGGTTTGCGGATTTTATCAGAAGGGCTCCTGCCGTTATGGCAATACGTGCAAGAACCTCCACATTAAAGCAGGTAATGGTAATACTTTACCAGATCAGATTTCGTCTCCCAACAAATTCCACATGATGAATTTGACAAGGTCAGATGACGGCTTCATGAACGGCAATCGCCCATCGGAGTCTGCACAAACTACGACAGACTTCACCCAACTCCCTAATGAGATGCACCTACCACCCAACAAGGTACCAGTGAACAAAGATCAACATCGATTGGATCCGTACTTGGAACTGGCAACCAAAGAAGAGAGAGCTGCCTTCCAAGCTCGGACTTTGAGAAGAAAGATATGCAACAGTTTTCACCTCACCGGCGAATGCACAAAGGGCGATTATTGCATCTATGATCACCGGCCCATCGATCAAGGCATGCGGAATTGCCTCAAATTCGTTGCTCGCAGTCTGCCCTGTCCAAGAAAAGGCGCCTGCAGGCTATCGACATGCTTCTTGGGGCACATATGCCAGAAAATAGACTGCAGGTATCGTGGAGGCAAGGCATATTGCAAGCTACCCTCCATGGCCCATAATCTAGATTTGAAGCTTGCCGAGTACCTACCGGCGATTCAAGGACCGACAGACATCGAAAACGAGACTAACGAGGGTCGCCTATCACCACGGCAAGGAAGTGAAAGCGGGGATGAAGGTGCCACGTTAAGTACGGAGGACATGGACTAGGATAGGATGTACGTTCGGGGATGATGCCTTTCGACACGCGGCTATAACCACGCAGCAAGGCATTCATATCCAATGGCGCTTGCACTAGCGCTTAAGCATTGGTTAACCACTCGACCAAAGACTGCGAGACTGCCAAATTGCATTTCAGACACGGAGTTTTGGTAGATTCATGACTGTCAAAGAATAGGCACTGTTCTACCAAAGCTCTTTAGAAGTTGCAGTTTGCGCGGCTTCGGGAAGCAGCAGAATCACAAAAGCTATGAACAGAACTCAGACGGGGTCGAAAAAGGCGGGAAAGATTATTGTGTTCATCAGCCCTAAGGATAAAAGCTGTGATTTTGAGGAAGCGGAAGCAGATGACTAGCCCTCAAAGTAAAATCCAACCACCGCCCAGACCCTAGCCCTTCCCTTACCCAGCTGGCCACATAGTACGAGATTCACATGCTCCTTCAATATGCCTCTCTTATCATTTCATATTACCAGGAAGCATGATACTCTCTTTATGTACACATATATCCTAAGCATTGAAATTCCATCCACCAGTATACTCTGCAAAAAAGTTCTCCGGATCATACTTCTTCTTAGCCGCCTGCAATGTAGCATAAGTACTAAACGTCTTCAAAGGATTCTGATCATAATTCGCATCATTGACGAACAAAGGCAATCCACTCGCACTGGGGACAGAATTCACCATATCCCTAAAACTCGCCTGCACGGAATCATACTGCGCCGAAGTGAGAAGCGATGACGACGAGATCAAGAAATTCAACCAGAACCAAGGCCCATCCGGCATTTGCATGGCGTTTCCGCCATTTTGGGAGTTCGAGGCGTCGGTTAAAGATTTCGGGATGGGTTGAATGTCTAGAGATGAGAGGGTGTAGACGCCTTTGTTTGCTTCGCACCATTCGGACCAGGCGTCGAAGGCTTGCTCGAAGGCGGTGTCGTTGATGCGGTGGACGGCGACGCGGAAGATGTTGTTGCCTCGGGTGAGTTCTGTGGCGAGGGGGATGGGCATGTTGACGGCTTCCGGGTAGGTTTTTTGGCCGAGAGTGTTGAGGAGGTTGGGGATGTTTGTGAAGTTTGCGAAGGCGTCGCCTGCGTCTGGACCGTCGTAGACGAGGAACAGGACGATGGCTTGGTCGAGGGCTAGGTCTCCGACTCCTGGGGTCGGGATTTTCTCGTATGTTGCGATGATGGCGGCTTTTGGGTCGGTGTTGTATTGGATGAAGTTGCGGACGGCTTCGCGGACTGCGGATGAATTGAAGAGGTAGATGATATTGCCGGCGTAGAATGTGCCGGATGGTCGGGTCTGGATGGTGTACTTTGTGACGACACCGTATGCGTTACCACCACCACCTCGACTGGCAAAGAAGAGGTCGCTGTTTTGTGTTGGAGATGCTGTGACGATTTCGCCACTCGGCAGGACGATTTCCAGCTCGCGGAAACTGTCACACGCCATTCCGTACTGTGAAGAGAGGAAGCTGAGTCCACCACCAAGTGCAAGGCCTGTGCCAACACCGCCAAGACGGGCGCCAACTACAGTTCGGCCGTATTGCTGGAAGTAGTCGTAGATATCGTTGAAAGTACCACCTGGCTGGTAGGTACCAATCGTGCTCGATGCATCGTAGGTCCTTATAGTCATCTGGTTGAGGTCGATAAGGACACCTTGATCGACAGATGAGAAAAAGGTGTTGGGATTATGTCCACCAGCCTTGATAGCGAATCGTGATTTTGCCGCCTTGATGGCTTGCAAAGCAGTAGATACATCTTCAGCAGAGGTAGGATATACGGCGCATGTTGGCTTGTAGTTGGCTTGCATTGCATTCCAGTATCCATATGTCGAAGCCTGGTATTCAACGCTTGTGGGTTTTTGAACCTTGTCCGCTCCCAACGAGGCTGTGAGGTTGTTGCATGCAATGGCACCAGGAGCCGTTGCTCTTGTTTGATGGATGTGCAGAGGAGAAGGTGGAGGTAGCGAGATCGCCAATGGAGAGGCCGCCGTGGTCACGACCACGGCCGCAAAAGACAAGAGGGACGTGAGCATGGCTGCAAGTGATCACACTGCAGTGGGAATGATGGTGAAGGTGAATGTTTGGATCCTAAAGCATCGTACGTGATAAGCAGCACTTTATAGTCACCTCCCACAGCCTGCATCGTTACCTGACTGACTTCGCGAAGGAGTTTGGTCGCTAGGAGTCGTATTGCGGAAACAGTCTGGAGACTCCCAGTATGCTCGAGTGAATTAGGAGCCTTCGCCGTTTGTGCATAATCGACCGAGGCGATCAATAGCTTCGGTAGCAAGGGTTTCTAGCAAATTATACAACAGAATCGAGACACTGTAGCTTGCTAGTAGGGCATTGACTGACGAATTCCTAGCAAAATCTCTCTATCGGCTTCGAATTTCTGTTCCAATGCAGCCGTCGTACGGAACTTGCGGCCCCTAGTAGGGTACAATTCGCCAAGATTATGTTACTAAAAATTAGGAGACAGGGCTTGGGTGCGCTATCGATTCGTTTTTTGAGGTATCAACTTCTTGCCTCTCAGCCTCTCTGGTATGTACGAAGCAGATACGAAATACGTGATGAAGATCCTCAGATGCGTTTGGCACTAGTCTGCCAAGTCATTGGTCTGGATTAGTGGCTTCGTACACGTTGCGCAAGATGCCGACATGCTATTGCTCCCGTCGTTCTAGACTTCGTGGTTGCGTGATGCGTCGCATAAGAGCGAGGCCTCCAAATGCTTCGATCGCTCTGGACAAATCGATCTGGTGCTTGCAACGCCTGTAGAAACTCGTCCGCTCGGAGTGTTCGAACGTCGGCAAAACTAGGATTGTTGTGGATTCGTACCACTTCTGCCTCAAAGCGGATTGTGAGGGCTGGGCCATGATGTCAAGCTCTGCAGCATTTCCCTGCCGCTGCAGTTCCGCATCGGAGATTCAATGTCAAGTCCCTGGAGAGAACTCCTCGATCACGGCTCGGAAATGACATGCTGCTTCTCAGCAAGTGCCGAGATCTGAGTCGAGTGGCAGGAGGACCTGCTCAAGTGCAAGCCAACTTACTGCAGATGGCGAAGTGAGATGGCTCAGCTCCCATCGCCCGGAGCACACTCTGCAATGACACTTTCACCAGCAAATGCTCACTTAGAACTCGGCAGCCAAGTCGGCTCCTTCGGGCCGAGCGAACACTGTGAAGCGCTTCCTCAGTCGGCTTGATCGTTGAAAGCGCCTTTCCGCGGGTATGGCACGAAGTGATTATGTTGTGCAACATCTCGAGGCTTCCAAGGGCCAAGTGCGTAAGCGCGAAAAGAAGCTAAACGCCAGGCCTCGGCTCTCTCCTTCGAGAAAGCAGACTTGATTGACGCAATAGGCGAGCTGAGCTCACTCGTCGTGTCAAGTGTCAGCCTCCTGCAACTCTGAAACCTAATTCTGCTCGGGAAGGTTTGGATCCGATTTCCATTTCATAGCTACTGCTCAGCGCGCGAGCGCGAGCATGCAATCATTTCATCCCTACGTTAAGCACACTGGTCTGCTTCAGCCCATGCGCGAGAAACGCTCACGCGCCACATTCTTCGTCTGCTCCAAGAAATCGTCGCCTCTGGTGGATTTGGCAGCCTGCTCAATAGCATCGCCCTTCTTGCTAGACTCGTGTCCCAGACCAACACCAGCAGCATAGGAAAGCTGCTCAATGGGCGCAGCAATTCCATCTCCAGATCCGAGTCCCTTGCCCTCTTCCCAGCCAGCATTCTGCAGCATCTTCTTTCCCTTCCCGTATGATGGAGTAACAGGCTTGTTCTCGACCGCTCCCTTCTTCTGCGAGACGGCCTTCAGCGACACCTTCACTTTTGTACCTGTCTTCGCCGCCGTCTGGCGGCGCTCCTCTGCGCGATCGCGATACTCTGGCTTTGCTGGCTCCGCTGACTCGTCCTCTTGCACCTTGATCGTTGCATTCTTGCCCACGCCGGCCTTCTTCATTCTCTCAAATCCTAGCTTCAACTTCTCTGGGTCCTGAAAATTCTGCTTATGCATCTCGCTCTCCCTAACATGCTTCTCTGCAGTGTGAAGTCCTTTGAGGTTTCTGTAGCACAAATAGCAGGACAGGACGTCTTCGTCTTCGCCCACATTCTTGGCCGGAGCCACGAAACTTTGCATTTCTGCAGCCTCTTTCACTGTACCAGAAACAAGATTAGCGCTTGAGTCGGGAGGGTGTACGGAGGTAGCGGGATGGTGTGAGTTGGAATCGGATTCGTCTTCTACTTCTTCATCACCATCCTCACCATTAAGCTCGAGTTGCTTCTTGCCCCAGAGAGTCGCGATCGCCAGGTTTTGAGTGGCGCTCGACTTGACCTTCTTGCGCTTGCTGCTATCGGAGTCCAAAGTATCGAGGGCTTGACAAGTCGTTGAGCGCTTCTTGTTGGTCTTTGCTTTGACGTCCGCTTGGGCTACTGAAGCTTTTGGTGATGCTGGTGCCTTCATGTTGACTTCATAAGCGGACGCGTAGTAGCGATCGTCGCGGTACCGGCGAGTACTCCCATTGCTAAGCTGGAAGGTGAACCTTGGATCTTTTGCTGGCTCGGAAATCGGAAAGACGCCAGAATGTGGGAAGTCCACTTTGATCCGCTTCGAGGCGATGGTGCACTTGTCGGCTAGCTGTCTGGCTTTGGCGAGTGCAGCCTTGGCGTCACTAAAGGTATGATACTCAGCAAATCCGTACGACAAACTCTTTTCACTAAGACGATCGCGAACAAGGAAGACACGTTTCAGGCTTCCAGGTGTAGCTCCAGGCGGCGCGGCGGGCATGGCAGGCGGCGGTCCTCCAGGAACTACAGGCATGGCAGTCGGCTTTGGCTCTTTGTCGTCGACATCCAGCTTCTCCAGGCCTTTGCTGAGTAGAGCTTCATCAACGGTGTTCTTAAGACCGCGTATGAGCAGAAACTGCAGCGCGGTGCCGTCGTACGACAGGTCCTCTTCTCCAGTACTGGCAGGTGGCTCCTGTAGTTCGCTGTAGGGATCCTGCTCGGAGAAGTCGTGGTATTCGTGGTAATCCGGATACTCGCGAGGTTGATAGCCGCGTGGATCATAACGTCGTCCACCACGATTGCGATTGTAATAGTCGCGACTGGTATAGCCGCGCCCATGATAGTTGCGTCCCTGGTAGTCGCTAGAGCTGCTGTATGAATTGTCGTAGCGATCGTCCTACCGAGGCAAATTAGGCACTTCGAGCCAAGAAAAGCATTCTCGAGAAGTTTACGCTGCGGTTGCGATAGCCACCCTGATATTCGTCATATCTTTGACGCGATGGCATGTCCGGATCATTATACGGACGCCGTGATGGTGATGGCGGACGGCTGTCAGAAGCACGTCTGTTGTTGGCTGCACCACGGATTTGAATGCCCGGGTCTGAGTCATCGTCGTCACTTCCGCGATAGTCGCGTAGCTGACGAGGGTCTTGAAACACCGGCAGGTTAGCGAGGTGCTTTCATTTTCAGGTTATGCTCGCTTGATGTTGTTGAAGTATACCGTTGTCGCCTGGCCGGTAGCTGTCCATGATGGCGCTTAACACGCGAACGTGCTGGCCGTAGTCTGTCGCGATGAGATGGACAGCAGTGCTGATGCGCTGCGTGATGATGCGCAGTACGAAGTGTGCAAAGCGAGGTTGAGTAGTAGATGGATCGCGAAGTGAGAGTTGCAAAGAGGTTCGGCAAGGGAAGCGGACCGGCCCTCCCGACGCGTTCTTGGCATGATCGAGTGGACTTCACAAGTTCTGCGACTTTGGCCTCACGCCCAGTCATTATGCAAGAAATGTGCTTTGAATGTCTGCAACTGCCTAACTCTTATCAGAAAATTTCAAAGTGGACAAAATCGAATATCAATCACACTAAGAGCTGGAGAAGAGCTTAGCAAGAGCCCGGAAAAGATTCAGGGGCGGCCTTCGCCAGCCTCACTTGCTGCATAAAAGCCCTCTTTGCCTCGAATCGTAAAGCTCGTTGACTACCTCTGATCACTTCAACAGGTTGTCCGCCAGATTGTCGTAAATTGATGTTCGCGCGACAAGTTTCGGATGGTGTTGTACTGTGCTCAGACAGAGTCCAGAGTGCCATGCTCAGGTGAATAAGGTAAACGTTTCGATTGCCCATGTGTTACTTCTCTGCTACGTTGCTGAAAGGCTGGCTGTATCTGCCTGATACCTGACTCAAGCCACTCAGGAGAGCCATGTTCGAGTGACAAGTTTCAAGAAAGCACAGACATCTTGACGTGAACATGCAGTCTGAAACTGGCTGTCTTCGCCACTCGTAGGTTCCGTTTAAGACCCATCAAGACACGTTCAGCGTTGAGGCAAGGGTATACATTTGGACCGCTTTCCACTCGACTTCCTTTCCTCTTCCCAGACACGTTCGATACCGATCACAAAGTAAACACCTCAGATTTCACAGATTCCAGATCAAACAGTCCAAGATGTCGGCAACGCCACCAGTATTCGGACCAGTGGGCATAACAGTCAGCCCTGAAAAGCCTCACGACTTCTACTGACCACAGCTTTCCTGTAGCTCCGCAGTCCAGCAATCTTCTCTCGGAAATGGCTCACCAAACTGCAATCCCATTTCGATTTCTGCGACTTTGCGAACCTCCAGCCCATCGAACACATAGAGTACCTTTTCAAAGCCGTCGAACTCACTGTGGCCTTCACAATCGAAGCCCGAGCTCTCAATCTCAAAAGCTCGGACTTCCCGACTGACCCGCTGAGCGTGTCTTTGGCGGCCATGCCGAGTCCTCACAATAGCGTCAAGTTCGTAAGTCCGTTCTTTGCGGTATTAATTCTGGAAAGTTTTGTTGAAGGCATGCTGAAGATATGGAGCACGAATGAGCATAGGGTCGCCAATGACGCTTCACTGATGTATCATGTCGCTTTTGACAAGCTGGGTAAAATGGTAGATGAAGCACATGGTGATGGGAATTGGCTGGTGCAAATCAACGGCTCTAGACTGATGGTGCAAGCTGGCCTTGAGCTTGCGGTAAAATGTGTTTCGCGAAGCCTCGACAAGCTTCAATCTCGTGGCTGAGGCGAAGCTTTCCGTTGGAGTTGGCTTGTGTCGAGCTTGAGAGGACAGCAAGGAGATGGGATCGGAGATGCCAGGACGTTACCAGGTGAGGCGCTGAGGATATTCGAGTGACTGTACCAGCTCAGGTGAGCTTTTGCTAGCTGCGAGTGAATTGCACTGCAGGTGTGGGTCTCATGTAACATTGAGCGTGTTCCACACTATTGTCGAAAGAAGCTATTGTGCCCTGCTGTATTTAAGCTTGCTCGTTCCGAAACATTTCGTACACTATACTCAGACTCAAAATGGCAAGCGCCAGTACTCAAGAGATGTTTACAGGAGCACAAAAGCCAGTATTCGGGCCAGTGAGTACCGCACCTGTGCGAAGGAATTCAGAATCTGTCTAAAATGAGCTGCAGCCCTGCAGTCCCGAGATATTTTCCAGAAAGTGGCTAGCCAAGATTCATGCACTCTGGTCAACCTTCGGATACCAGACCTACCATTCTCAGCATTTCGTCGGCCATGCTGAATTCGTCTCTCAAGCATTCGATCTCGCCCTAGCGTTCAATATCGAAGCTAAGGCTCTCAACCTTGTCAAGGAGTCCCTGCCCGAGAGAGACGAGGTTACAGCTATGACGAAGCTGCGGAGCCCAGTCGGCTATACTTTCAAGAACCCATTCACTGCCGTCAACCACCTGGTGATCTTGGTCAACATGGCGAGGAAGAAATGGGAAGGCGAGCAAAGTGGCGATCTGTTGGGGCCGTACGCCTGGATCTCACACCCGCAGGAGTATAGAACAGCATGCGAGCAATTCGTCGCGAAGGTCAATGAGGTTGTCAAGAACGGCCTTTGGGATGCCAAGAAAGGTCTGCCGAAGGATTTCGAGAAGTTTCATCTCGAAATGGTCAAGAGTGCGTGGATGAAAGCGAAGTATGGTATCTGAGAGGGCTACCCTGCAATGGGCACTCCGAACGTGATAGCGAGGGACCGAAGAAGCGATGTATCGGACACTAGGTCCAGGAAAGGAGCAAGGCCGAGCGAGGTCGTCTGTCGCTAAGGAGACGCACGCAGTGCTTGAGCACGAACATTACGAAACAGGAAAACCATACTCATCTGAGCCAATCAGTAGAACATCAGTTCTAATTTGCCCTCGCCACTTCCATACCGTTCCTTGAGATCCTCGCGAGTCAGCAGCTTGACAAGAGGTACCTGCAGCTCCTTCATATCAAGCACTCCCCTCTTCTTTTGGTCGATGTGACTCGCGTCAACCACGATTCGCTCCAAATGTTTCGTCGAAAGTGCGCCATCATCCAGCAAGTCCATGATTCGCTGCGGAGTGCCGACTCCGATGTTCATTCTCGTCTTCTTGCAGGTTTCTACAGCCTCTTTGAGCTTAATATGTTTGGCGAAGAGCTTCGCCACCATGGCTTCTTTGGTTTGGAACTTTCGTAATGCGCGTGTCAAATCTGCTGCCCGCAAGCCTGCGCCTGCCACGACGATAGTATGGGGAGCGCCTTTCTCGTTGGGAGCATTCTCGAGCTTCTTTCCCTGCTTTTTGCGTCTTGCGCCGGCGAATTGTTCGAGGAAAGTGGGTAGCGAATCTGTCACTCGATCCTGAGAAAAGGATGTGGTATCTGTTATCGCACTCTCTGCCATACTCGTCAGTCTCTACTCTATTAAACATTTTCTCAGGGTAATTCGTACCAGGTATTCGCCAGTCCTCTGCCTCAACGAAGCTCAGATCTGGTTGGAATCTCTTGGTTCTCTGAGCGATATGATCTGCCATCAGACTGCTATCCATGTATCCAATGGCCTTGCTGATTCCGAGCACGCTGTCCAGGGTATCATCGTCGACATCTTTCGGCTTCTTGAGTTTCCGTCTCGCCTTTCTGGCTGCTTTCTTGCTGTCGATGTCGGCATCGTCCGCGTCGCGCTTTCGCTTGCTGGACTTGGAGGGTTGGGGCTCTGGAGAGTCTGAGAGATCTTCTATGAGCGGTATACCCGCCTGATCGGAGTCTGAGTCGGCCATCGCTGGTGATATATGGCAAGAAATTGTGGTTGACGCTGGTTGTCAACTTGTGATCTGGAGGTCGTCGCGAAAATCTAAAAGCGGTTTAGCGGTATGGCCTGATTTCATGCCTGAATTTCCTGCTCCGAATCTTCCCCGGTCTATGGCCGAGATACCTCCTCCTGCTCTCCTTTTCGTGAGATCCCCACGTGCAGCTTCAACTCATCGCCACGGAGAGGTACATCAAGAATCAAGCACATATTCTCTCAGACAGATCTGAACTGGCCTTCTTCACTGACTGAGAGCAGCACGAGCACCAGCATTACAATCCCGCGCACACCTTCCACTTCCAGAAGCTCTTTCACAAGAAGATGAGCACAGTCATCAGTGCGCGCTAGGCTGTGCAGCTGTTTGGGCTGACACCAAGCCTCGCCCCCAGCCTGTACCACCATTTCATAGGCCGCGTTGGTCCATTAAGGCCTTAGACGCGCCACATTGGATCTTACTTCTATAGTACTTCTATCAACCCTTGGATGGCCGTCGGGTCGATACAGTCCGCTATACCCAGCAGATCAACACCGCAATCGGGACAGCATTTACACTTCTCGTCCGAGCGGCGTTCGTTGTCGCGATTTCTTCTACCTATTGGCAAATCTTCTGGCGAACACTGCACAAGGCCTTGCCACTATCTACGATCGACAGTCTTGCGGGTCAACTTGGAGCCATCTACCAGCTTCTGAACATCCTTTACACTTCAACAGCCGCATGTATTCCTGCTTCCGAATTATACCAATGCCGGTGCTTTCTCCTCGAGCTCGGTGGGACTGTTCAGCGGTAATATGGCCAATTCGGCGCCAACTGGTCCTACCGGCAGCTGGAGCGGAGCGACGAGCCAGCTCAAGCGAAGCATTATGTCTGTGGCATATCAGGGACAGATATCCTCGTTCAAGGCGCCTCGCGTCAATTCATCATACTCGCTGGACTTCTTCGGGCCTGCAATGAAATGTGACGACGCTTTCGACCAAGAGGGCATTATCTCGAATCTTTCGTCGGCAGGTGCGAATCAGCAGGGATTCGATAAATACTATTACATTGCCTGGGCGCCAAACGCTACCGCAGTGGTGCCCCTTGTAAGCGATAGCATTGGCTACAACTACAGCAGGAGCTCCTCACTCCGTCTAACCGACGATGGCGACCTCCCTCGAACGATATACGCGGGTCTCAACGAAACAAATCCGGCTGCACTATTCATTGCGTACCAGAATGATAATAATTGGATCGTAGATAATGGCTCGCTCTACAATGCGACTTATGGCGTCACCTTTGAGTTCGCGAATGGCGTTCAGAAAGTCACTATCGATGAGCATACGCTACAAAATTCCATCACGACGAACTCGACGACATCAGCCTTTGTGCCGTGGCCCAATGTCTTGGCCTTGTCTGACCCTGAATACAGATCATATTTTGGTTTTATGGAAGCATTACAGGCTGTTTTGACGGGCTCTCTATACGACATGACTGTGATTGAATATCACAACACATACTCTTATAATTGGACCAAGCTGTGGTTGGCATACGGTGCTGCTACAGTGGCCACTCTCGCAACGGTTGCGATTGGTCTCGTGAGTTTGGTTACCACGGGCACATCATACAGCAACAAATTCTCGACAACCATTCGCGTTTCACGTGATGCGACTCTGGATGCTTTGATAGGAAAGGAAGACCGATCCGGCCAAGACCCTTTGCCTCCGTATATCAGTAAGATTAGATTCGCGATTGGCATGGAAAGGTCTCTGGGCAAACTGGAACAGGACGTGAACGACATGGAATCTGAACGCCAAGCGCTCAGGCTTCAGGACATCTCACAAAGAACCGCGGTTGAAGATGAGCAGTATAGCATGGAACAACATCGACCAGGATATATCAGAGAGAGCTCTTCAAGATCTGTGATGCCTGGTGTTCACACCAGTTATCGATAGGAAAGGGAATCAATGGGGTCGAGAACCGCTGTCTCCGTTTTGATGATGTGATGTGAACCACGGACTGCACTGTAAACACGTTTCACGCATGCAACACACTTGGTCAATAAGCTCTTGCCGCAAGCAGCGCATGACTATCCTCATGAGATGGGAAGGACCAACATGCTCCGAGACCACGCTCCGAATTGCAAGATTATCCTCAGTCATTCTGGTGGCGATCTGCCATACATCATCGATAGACCTGCGAGGCTGATGGTGAACGCTCCACCTCCAACGAATGCGGGTAGGAGTACTGAGGATGTTCTAGCCGAGGCACGAACTTTCTGCTTCGATACCGCGCTGTCGAGCTCTCCGATGCGGATCAAAGCTTTGATGCAATTGCTTAGAGGCGATGCGGAGGACCAAGCTTCAGTTGTTCGGCACAGATTGTCCGAATGCGCCAAGTGGAAGCTTCATGGTCTAGCTTGAACGACAGGATGACTTCAAGGCCGAAGATTTGCGAGAAAATTGGCTTGAAGCTATTTCCCAGACTTGGAGTGTGAGGCGTGGTGCGAGCACGACGTCAACTCGATTTTCATCTGCGCAGTTGCTTGCAGCACCAAATATCATCAAGTCCAGTAGGAGTCATTGCGAAAAGTCCAGCTCTCTGCTTGAGATCAGCAGCAGTCCATCCTTGTGCGAAGCCGACGCCAATGCCATTTCTCAAAGTGTCTAGGATCCATTCTCTCAAGTTGTCGGTCTGCAGACCTTCAATTTGTGGATCAGCTGCCCATACTACCACCAGTGCATGGAATGGCTGTAATCTCGAAAACACCCCACCCTTCATTGCATGTGGTATGCTCATGAGAATGTTCTTGGCTATGCGATCTCGATTGTATGTAAGGACCCGCACCTGCTGGTCAGAAAGGCAGTTGAGCATCCGATGCTCTTCCAAAGACAGGTGAGTAATGGTGAGAAGTAGCGCCTACAAAGAGCGAAAGGTGCAAAGTTAGCAAGTGGCTCGGACATAGTGCATGCCTTGAACATACTAGACTTACCCAGTAGTGTACCAAGAATGGCCAATGGCAACATCCCGTGAAGTCAAAAGCCTTGGGCAGGATCGAACAATCATCCTGGGTGTCAACGACTTTGCCGATAGCTTTCGCTACGTCTTCCGCCGCTCTATCTTGTAATGTTAAGAGATGCTGGGAAAGGCCGATAACTTCGAACGAAGACACATCGCTGCCTTGCCTCAGCTTTTGCACGTACTGAATCAGATCTGGAAGTCTGGCATCAATCTTCTGGCATGACGACTGCAGCCTGCCCCAGTACTCGGTCCTGGTCCCGAAGCTGTATGGTGACATCAAGTCCCAGTAAGCTTGATACTTGCGTGGAAACTCAGGTGCACTATCAAGCGTCCCCAAAGAACAGGCCCGGAAGTATTTGTATCGAATGATGTCATGAAAGATGGCCCTGTGTATGGCGCTTGGAGCGCGAGTCATCGCAGCATCTACAACCAAGTATCTGGATAGCGCATCGTAGTGGATGTAGCCCTCTTCGCCATCAATAGTCTTGTTCCTATGGTCATGCACTCGAATCATGGACGCAGCAGTCGACAGTGCACCTGAGGTGGCTGCTGCAAAGTCAAGGCCGTCCTTCCGGGAAGTGTTGCTGCCTAGCTTTATCCGCAGACGCGAAACAGCAAGATCGTAATTGTCAAGGGCAGCACGGTGCAGCGCTTCGTCATTGACGCCAGAGCTTTTTTGTAGATAATACTCGCAAGCCTGGCTGCATGCGAGTGCAGCAATGTCAAAGACCTTGTCTTTGCCAATCAAACTGGGACCGACCGCAATCCAGGAAAATTCGGAGTTGATCGCTGTGATAGCATGAGCGAGGCGTGAGGCAATGAGAGCTGTTTGTGATGTTGGTGGCGCACTGACGATTATGGGGCTGGCAGAAGATCGTACACTGCGGTTTCGTTGCTTCGTGTTTCGCCTGGGCTCTGGCTTTTTGAGGTGTTTTGCGCCTTTCTCACCAGGAACGTAGATGCGCCAGGCCTGTGTGTCGGCGCTCTTGACTCTCGAGAGCGCATCGCTTCCAATGTCGATCAGAGGCTCGCCTCTTGCTTGCGAGTCTTTGCTAGGACAGCAGTCGTCGACCATAGGACCGAATGGATTCCGCCCATACTGAGCGACTATGGACAGTGTGCCGTCCATGCTATGCGGGTGAATGGCATCAAGGTGGCGCGGAGATAATGCTGTTCCAGTGCTTCTAAATGCTGCCCATGCACAACTCGAAGAATAAGAAATACGCTGACCTGAGACGAAGCAGAGGGATATTAATCCACGCCCCAAAGATCAATCAGATGTTCCGAAAGGCAATGATCTACTGCGCTCGGAAGCATAATGATGTTGAGACAGCTCAGCTCCTCGAGAAGCAGCTAGAGTGAAGTTGAATTTAACGGAGTGAACATTAAGGTTCTCGTTCATCGCCTGGTAGAACCTACCGCTGCTCAACGATCGACAGGGTACGTTTGTTTAGCTCTATATCTGTAATATACTTCTCGCAATTCAACCAATCAGCTATCCGGTCGACTCAGTCGCCGAAATCTCTCGATAGCTCAGCTGGAAGAGCGCAAGACTGTAACGGACGTACTCAGAGCATCTTGAGGCCCGCGGTTCGATCCCGCGTCGGGAGAACTCTGTTTTTGAAGTTTTTTTTGGCATATACCACAACTTCAAATGATGTCAAAAATACGAGTTTGAATACTGCGGATGTGGAGAGGTATGGTGATATTCATCACATATCGATGATAGTATCGACGGGAACAGCAACATGGCTCGTCCTCAAGTCGGTCTGGAGAACGCGAACGATGAGACCCCTGCTACCACTGTGAATGATCTTATCGGTGTACCTGACAGTGTCTTTCCAGGACGCTTCAACAAGCGTTCTTTCGGGGCTAAAACATGAATGTGACTGTCGAGCCTGCGGTGCTTGCAAGGCTTTGAAAAGAAGGGCGACGCTCGGTTTCATTGACGGGAGTTTGAGAATACTATAAGGAGGATGTTCTGGTGGAGTTCGTCGTCATTCGTGATATTTTTAGCATTCGTCACAAATGAACCTAGTCAGTGTGCATGCAGTATGTCCTCATATTTCCATCAATCTCACTCCTCCATGTACTATGAGTCCTGTCAACCAATCAGGCCAAGCTCGCACTCGAATCTCCCCGTCTTTCGGTCCCTCTTCAGTCGTTTGAACATCGAAGCACTGGAGATGAGAGGGATCAGCGTCCAGAACCTGTCAACATTGTCAGCATCAAGCATTCAATAAAGCGTAGACGTCGGCACTGACACCATGAGCGAAGCACCGCATCCCGCAGTCAATGTCCACACCGTCCACGGCGGGAATGGCAACGTAACCACCGCTGCCTCCAACCAGAGGTAGAGCTTGGCAACACTCGACACCAAGTACAAGAGTGATGTCAAATGCTTTTGCCTGAAGAGGCAGATTTCGCAGCTCGTGAGAGCAACCACGGCAATGCTGCTCATCACGCAGACGACAAATTCTACGCTGTACAACTATTAGCTCTATTCGTAGCAGTGTATGCATGTGTGTGGTTTTGTGTATACCCTGCGAGGTAGAAGCGCGATGTGTTGGGAATATATTCGTATGTAGAAGTCGTTGCATAGCTCCCAAAGCTGGTGATGACGAAGTTCAGAATTGTCATGATGAGGATCACAGTTGCGAAGAGGATTTGGATGGTTGAGTTGGTTATGAACAAGCCTCTTTTCCATTTTGGTTGTTGGGGAGACATTGCGAGGGCTTGGGATTGAGGTGTTGCTTTCGTTTGGTGAGGAGAAATTTCACGTGCTTGGGGTTGAGATGATAATGAATGAATGTGTGATAACGAAAGAATGCCGTTTCCAATGCTTTCAATTGCGTGCGATATTCAGGTATAAGAGTCGTCTGGGCACGTGCTGAATCCTGATGCATACAATTGGATCCTGGGTAGGAGTCTCCCTTGTGTTGCACTGCCCCAGATACGAAGCTCGAAGGATGAATGCCGTCCTGATTCGCATGTAGATTGGCCGATCATGCCATTTCAGCATCACGATTCTGGAAAGTGAGTGCTTTAAGGTTGGCGGAACTCGCAGCGCTCAAAGATTAATGCATCCGGTGGTATTCTATAGTGAGTGCATTCAGAAGGCATCTTGTCCACATAACGAAGCAGATCCGAGACGATGGATGCGTTATGCTGTATCGGTTTGAGTGAAATTTCACATGGTCCTTGCTCCACGTATTTTTGGATTGTTGTTCTTTGAGTCATCTGGTGGGCACTCTGGGCAAGACTGAGGATACGGGCGCACTTCACAGCCTCAATAATAATGTCGAGAGCAACGGAGAAGAGAGTTCGAGATTACAGTAGCTCTATTACGCTATGCAATATGTCGCGCCATGCGCTCGGAGGACCATAGAATTTACTGTGGTGTAGCTGCACTATAATTAGTATAGAATTAGCTTCTTAGCGGTTTCCTACTTCTCTTCCAAAATGATACTATACCTCGTCGTCGCTATTTCTATAGTATACACCTCTCGAAGGTATTGTTAATAGCGCGGTTACTAGACTATTAGCTTAATAAGATTAAACGCCTATTCGACGAGAGCGAGTTGTCTAATATCGCTATCTCTAACCTACTAAATATCGCTACGTTACGAAAACTTCTTTTCCGATCGCGACGATCCTATCGATCCTAGCGATCGCGAGCGATCCCGAGCGATCCCGAGCGATCCTAAGCTATCCTAGAACGATAAATAGGTAACTTATAAAAGTTAGACTTTTGCCTAATACTACACTCAAAATAGAACATTTTTGTTATATATTACTAAGCCGTAAACCTTCTAGATAAAAAGATATAAAGGAAAGAAAATCGCTTTTCTAGACATTTTGCTTCTAATTTATCTTTTTTTCTAGTAGGTTTATAGCTTAGTAATATAGTAAAAAGGTACTCTATTTTTAGTATATTATTTTAAAAAAATATAAAATTTATAGTTTTTCTACGAAACTAAAGCTAGGGAACAGAAATAAGCAATATAGTATTTTGGCTTTTCTAAGTTATACTTTACTATTTTTAGAAATTTAAAAAATAGAACTTAAAGTTCTACCTACTAATAAGAGTATTATAAATTTTGAAGTCTTAATACCTAGTAATTATCCTAGAATCTAGAAAAGAATCTCGAGTGTTTCGAGTGTACTTTTTTTCAAAGTTCTGCTTATTAAGCGTCGGCTTTTGAAAGAAACCTTAACGAAATATCGGCTGCATTTAACGAAACCTCAACGAAAAAAATTTATTTATAAAAAAAACCTGCGAAACCGCTAAATTTGACCTATATTAGTACGTAATACCCCGAAATACCTCCTCGTAGTAGTAGTATATGGAGTAGTAGCAGTCGGGCTCTGACTTGCCCCGCGTCCTTTGCGTTCCTTGCCCTCGAATTTCGGGACGGGCCGTCCCGAAATTCGCGATCGCGAGGATCCTGTCGGACAGGATCGCGAGTGGTCGGAATTTCTAGATCGCGGCGATCCTGTTAGACAAGATCTTTGACGTGCGATCCTAAGGATCCTAAGGATCCTAAGGATCCTAAGCGATCCTGTCGATAGGATCGTCGCGATCGGTAAAAAAGTTTTCGTAACGTAGGCGTAGTATCGATAAGATCTATAACAATTATCGCCTATTTAGTATATTCTATATTAAAGACCTTGCGAGGTTAGGTCGTCTACAGTCGCTATTACTAATCTTTAAGAATATAGGTAGTATCGTATCGCCTAGCGTATATAGTCGTAGTTTAACTAATCTACCTATTTCTATAGCGTATCTTCGAATTCCTTAATAACCGACTATATACCTACTAAGACGAGGTAGTATAGTATCTATACGACGAATACGACGTTATTATTAGCTAGTCGACGGTATCGCAAGTACTAAAGAGGCGTAGCTAGACGAGGAAGAAAGCGATATAGTTTGTAGCGGAATAGAACTAGGACCTTCGAGACAACTTTAAGATAAGGCAAATAGCTATACCGGCGTATAAGGTAGTATATATTAATAAGAGCGCCTCTAACGAGCGTACTAGATAGCGGAAATATAGATACAGTCTAGTTAACTGCCCTGTTTTTAAAGAAGTATTAGTAGTAAGGTTAAAGCGATAGAGTATCCTACTAGCTATATTAGTTAATAGTTATCTTAATAGCACTATTATCTACTAAGGTTCTATTACCGCGGAAATCTTCGAGGCATAGTTGTGGTGTATAGTACTACCTTAAATAGAGCCTAGTATATTTATTGTTATAAATAACGCGTTAATCTACCGTACTTAGCGTATAAAGGATATCGTAGCGGCGGTAGGTATCTACCTTCGATACGACGATACCTACCTCCGTATTCGCTAGACTTCAACCCTATTAAGTTGTTATTTAACGTACTTAAGGCATAGGTTAAGAAGTATATTAACGAGGCTAATTGCTTCGTAGACTTCGGCAAATTTATACGGTATACTATTAACTAACTAGATACTTAAACAATAGCAAGATCGTAGTTCTAGCGAGTAGGTTATCGCTAATATCGACCTTGTAGTTACTCCCTTATAGTCTTACTTATACTAACTATTATCTCTAGCTTAGCAATACGGCTTCTTAACTCGTCTATCTCCTTCCTTATTTTATCTATAATAGTACGCGTAGTATTAGTAGCTTGCTCTTTTATTATTGCTTCTATATACTATAGATCTAGCAATGTTAGCTATAGTAACGAGCCTCTTAAATTAACAGCTAACAGTAATATAGTAGTTAGTAATATAGTAGTAGCGTCTCGTATAAGGTCCTCTTCTTCTTAACTATCGGCAACCTATAAAGAATTAGTTAAACCTATAGCGATACCTAATCGATATACTTCTAATGCGCTACCGATAGCTATTGCGATTAAAGAGCCTAGAATCCGGTAGATTCTAAGCCGTTTCTATCGCTAGTGTTACCTCGAGATTATTTAAACTAGTGCCGCTAGTAGGTCGCTATTCGTATCGCAATCGAGTAGCAGTCCGGAGAGAACCCGCTTAGAAAGCCGGAATCTATAACGACTAATAGGGCATTACTATACTACTACAATAATACGTCTATATGCCCTCCTCGGTAGGAAATAACACTATTAGCTATACTAAATAACCTCCCGTTGTCCGTTTTAAAAAATATATAGGTATAGTAAAGATATAGTATTAGTAATATATTAGGGAATTTGCGACCTTCTACCGCTTTCTCTACGCCGAGACTACCGAAATTTCGGCTTCTACTCGGCTTTGCTCGGCGGTTAAGCTTAGCGGGTCTACGCTTAAGAAGCTAATTTTAACTACTCTAACTAGGCACTAGCGTAACACTATAACGCATTGTTTTTTATTACTATAAGTATAGAGAGCCGAGACTATATCTATCTAATGCTCCTCTAATTTATACTATACAGAAATACGTAGTATTAGTAGAATAAGAAGCGACATTAGTTAAACTAAATATTAGCTATTAAGCCGCCGACTTATACCCGGAAATCCTCGCTTCTAGCTCGCTTCTATACTAAAACAGCGCTTCTATAGCTAACTAACGAATAGGCTATCGTCCGACTTATTAATACGACTAAGTCGCTGCTTACGGACTTCCTTGTTAATATATCGCCCTACTACGGCGATAAATCGAGCGTATTAGCCTTCCTTAAGTCTATAGCGGACCTAATCGCTCAATTTAACCCTTCTAAGCTGTTTAAGTAAGAAGTCGCCTTCCTCGTAGATACGCTTAATATTAGCTATATCGGTATGTCGCTTACTCTAGCTACTAGTTAACTCTTTACGTAACTAGGTAAAGAAGCCTATTAATTCTATATCGGCGGTATAAGATTAATAGGAAGCGATTAAGCCGCTAACTAGACTTAATTGCAGTCTAACTAGTAGACTAGAAGCCGGTAGACTAGAAATAGCGCCTCTACGACCCCTACTATTAGACTAGCTATAATAGTTGTAGATTACTACTAGAGTTAGCGTTATTAGTGCGATAGTACGTCTACTACTACTACTACTGCCTTACTGTCTAAATAGATTAGACAACTGCTTGTCTCGTTGCTTCTATATCTTTAATACTAGTGCCGCTCTAGGGTTGTCGATTGTTAGCCTTCTAGCTAAATTAGCCTCTCGAGTCCCCTTAACCTATCTAGCGGCTATTTCCAAATAGATCTTATAGTAGTCTTCTGCCCTATTTAGACTACTAAACTAGCACAATCTACCCTTGTTTAGACAGTATCTATTCTTATAGGGCTAGCGCTAAGTAAGGGCGTGTCGTAGGTCCGTTAGAGAGCTAGTTAGGTCGCTATTATTATCGTTAGGAGTCACTTTATTATCTTCCGAGCGCCCTTTAGCTAGTAGGGTAGCTAACTATTACTAAGTCGCTATATTCCGTAGCCTCTAAGAAGCCTATTAAGTCCGCCGTAGTTATTAAGTTACAGGCTCTTTAGCAATAGCGGTTAGCTTAGCTATAATAGCGAGTTTAAACTTAAGTCGTAGGCCCTTCTTGCCTTAACTATTCTAGACAGCTAGTATAGTATATACGCGCTTAAAATTGAGGTCTATTATACTAGAGCTATAGTAGAAGTGTTTAGCCTTTACCTTGTTTGTAGAGGCTATAATAGTAGCGCTCTT